CATCCTGCAACAGTACGTTTGTTACAATTGATGAACCTACACTGACACATCTTTATCACCTGAAGTCCATATTTACATTATGGTTCACTCTTGATTTAGTCAGAGAGGCTAAACATGAGTTTAGTCAAATGTATAATGACAGGTATTCACCATTATAGTATCATACAGAGTTGTTTAATTGCCTTAAAAACCCTCTGTGCTCTGTCTATTCATCCCTTCCCCTCTGAACACTTGGCAACCACTGATCCTCTTATGTCTCCATAGTTTTGAGTTTTTGAGAATGTTGTATAGTTGAAATGATCAAGTATGAGGCCTTTTTAGATTGGTTTCTTTCATTTAGTAATATGCAATTAAATTTTCTTCATGTCTTTTCAGGGTGCAATGTTTTTTAAATAAAATTTTAAATGAAAGTCACATTTAATTATACAGAGTACTAATTTTTTACTTTAAAAAGTAGGTTTAGGACTTCTCTGGTGCCGCAGTGGTTAAGAAACCACCTGCCAATGCAGGGGACATGGGTTTGATCCCTGGTCCAGGAAGATCCCACATGCCCCAGAGCAACTAAGCCCATGCGCCACAGCTACTACTGAGCCTGTGCTCTAGAGCCTGCGAGCCACAACTGCACCTAGAGCCCATGCTCCACAACAAGAGAAGCCACTGCAATGAGAAGCCCACGCACTGCACCCAAGAGTAGCCCTGGTTCGCTGCAACTAGAGAAAAGCCCGCGGGCAGCAACAAAGACCCAATGCCGCCATAAATAAATAAATAAATAAATAAATAATTTTAAAAAGAAGACCCAAAACATACACATAATTTAAAAAGTAAAAAAAAAAAAAGTATGTTTACCAACAATTCTTGTGTTGGGGACCTTTCTGTGGGATAATTTGCCCACATACATTAAGTATCAGAATTGTCATCGCAGAGGTGGTATGTTCCTAAAGTCTCTCTCAATTTTAGGGACAAGCGGGATGGTTTAAAATACTGATTTTTTTTAAAAATTCAGGTATTCAGTTTGCCTAAAAATAAAGTCTGTTGTGGAATAACTGCTGAATTTTTAAAAAGCCCATTGTGTAATCATTACTTTTTTCATTCGCCTCCCAGATCTGATGGCACAGTCAGTCCATACCTTTCTCCTTTATCTTTCTTCTTTAGTGGTATCGCTACCACACACATGCCATGGTTTACTTTTCATGTTTTCCTAAACACTACTACTGAAACGCTCTATAGCCATCACTGTGTTCCTAGGATCCATTTATTACCTTGGGCTTTATAGGACTGTCATGATTTAAGAGAATGAGAGAGAAGGGAAAGGTATACGTATTTCAGGAAAGGAAAAAAGAATGATCAAAAGCAGGGATGAAACAGTCACGTTCATGCCTGGGTGCTGTGAGTATATTTTATTCTGCAAATGTAAGATACTCTAGGTCAGGAGGTTAGACAATTCATCATACACACTACTTATCTAGTTAGTTAGTTAACATTTACAGAGCATACAATGTGCTGGGCATGATTCTATAACACTTTTCTAATATTCTAACCTCATACAATTTGGGAGGTCCTCTTTGGAAAGCACACATACAAAGAAATACAAAATTAGGTGGCCTTAGAAAGGACCCATGTAAGTGAAGAGACCTGAAAATTAAGCTTCACAGTAAACTCACCTCCATTTCCCATGACTGAGAGACTGAAGTGAAGAAGTAAGCTTCAGGCAGCCCAATTTTTCACCTCTCACAGGTATCCAAGACTGCTTCTTGTCCCATGATCTCCATTTCTCCCTAGAAGAGCTCGGTTATATTGCCATTAGAGCAAAGGGCAAAATTAAACAAGAAGCTTTCATGTTCTGCTTGCCACACATTTCTAGCCACCATTTATGCACTGATTTTATTCACTGCCTTATTCTAGGCAGATTTTCTAACATTCTTTTCATCAAACCATAACATGAAATTTCTGTATTCCAGAAAGACGGATATGAATAAAGTATCCTTTTTTGCCCCCTCTCCACACTTTCCCAGCAACTTATAAAATGATTAGTGTTCTCACAGAACAGTGTGTTCATTCACTTAATAGGCTTTTATGTGCCAGGCTGTACCAGGTACTCAGGATACTAAGATGCATCAGAAATTAATTTCTTCCCTCAGGGAACTCACATTCCAGTTTGGCAGAGAACTGATAAGTAAACAAATGATTGCAATAGTCCCTAACTGGCTGTAATAGGACTATGTACAACTGTTATGGGAACCTAGCTTTGAGAATCAGTAGAAACGTATAAAATAAATCTTAGAGGATAAATAGATACAACATGTGGACAAGGAAAGAAAGGGCTTTTAAGCCAGGGGCTCTTAACCAAGGGGTCCACGGTTCAAATTACGGAGCTTGAAGAATTTGGATGAGAAAATGAGTACGTCTTTATTTTCACTAACCTCCAGTTTGAAATTTAGCATTTTTTTCCATTATAAATATAGGTCACAAACTGGAGTAGTATTAGCAATGCTTGTAACTTGTCACCAGTAGAAACATAGATATATTCAACATAGATATATTCATATTGCAGTTGACTCAGATTCTTGAAACATTATTTTACACATATTGCTACTTTGAAATTACAGTAGGAATTTGACTCACTGCGAGACCTTATTATTTATTGCATACTACATAACACAAATTTGTTTTCCTAACATTCTGATAATTGTATAGGAATATACAATTATCTCTTTGTAGTAATACGTATGTCTATGTAATAATATGTATGTTTATGCATTTAAATATATTATTCTGAGAAGGGCTCCACAGACTTCACCAGACTGTCTAAGAGATTCATTGTGAAAAAAGAATAAAAGTAAGGTTAAGAATCGCTGTTCCAGGCAAAGGGAACAGAAGACACAGCAAGTTTGGGACTTCCCTCGTGGTGCAGTGGTTAAGAATCTGCCTGCCAATGCAGGGGACAGGGGTTTGATCCCTGGTCCAGGAAGATCCCACATGCCGCAGAGCACCTAAGCCCATGCACCGCAACTACTGAGCCTGTGCTTTAGAGCCTGCGGGCCACAACTACTGAGCCCACGTGCCACAACTACTGAAGCCTGCGCGCCTAGAGCCTGGGCTCCGCAACAAGAGAAGCCACCGCAATGAGAAGCCCGCGCGCCACAACAAAGAATAGCCCCCGCTCACCGCAACTAGAGAAAGCCCGCACGCAGCAACAAAGACCCAACACAGCCAAAAAAAAAAAAAAAAAAAGACACAGCAAGTTTAAAGATGAGGACTTGTTCAAGAATTCAGTCACCAGTGCTGCCTTTTCTTTCTCTTGACTCTGAATTCTTCCCACTCCTCTTTCTGCCACTCCCCTAGTTTGGGACACCTGTCCATTTGGCCCTCTTCTAATCTATGTTCCACACTTCCCACTGTTGGGAATCCATATTCCCAAAGTTGATATTGTGTCACTGCTATCCTGGTTGAAGGCGATCAGGAGAGCCCAGCCTGCCTGGCCTTGGTATTGCCTCTGCAGGCAGAGGCAAGATCAAGGAGCCCTTGGGATCCCTCGGACAGATCTGGAAACCCCTAGCCTAAAAGAGCAAGTGTGGCTTTCAACACCCTCCATGGGGCATTAATACCTCTCCACCCTTATCTTCTATCATATTCCCTGAGCTCTGTCCTCCAGCCTCACAGAAACACTTTTCACTTTTCATAAAGATCCTGCCCTCTATCACCTCCGGGGGTATACAAGCTATTTTTTCTGCTTGGGACTCTACTTCTCACCACTGCTTTTTCCTGGTTAACACCTACTTATCTGTTAGGTGTTAGTTTAGAGGTCTCTTCCTCTGGGAAGTCCTTCTACTCCCCACGAGAATGGCCCAAATATCTCTCCTATGTGTTGCCTTAACAGCCTGTATTTACCTTTTATTTTTTTCTACTTTATGTGGCATAAATATTTTGTTACACAAGGTACAAAAATAGTTTCACGTTTTGGTTGGTTTCAAAGTTTGAAAAGAATGACGGGCCACAGTAGGGGTGGGGTGCGATGTGGAGAGGTACGCAAAACGGGCAGAGAAAGGATTTTTTTTTTTTTTTTTTGGCTGCTTTGGGTCTTCGTTGCTGCGCGTGGGCTTTCTCTGGTTGCAGCGAGTGGGGGCTACTTTTCGTTGCAGTGCACGGGCTTCCTATTGCAGTGGCTTCTCTTGTTGCCGAGCCAGGGCTTTAGGTGGGGACTTCAGTAGTTGCAACACGCAGGCTTCAGTAGTTGTGGCACATGGGGTTAGTTGCTCCGCGGCGTGTGGGATCTTCCTGGACCAAGGATCAAACCCATGTCCCCTGCATTGGCAGGGGGATTCTTAACCACTGGACCACCAGGGAAGTCCTGAGAAAGGATTTTCTTAACGGCTGTTGGCCCATCTGAGGAGGAGGAAGCAGAGGACCCCGATTTGAAATGACCAGGAAAATGCTCTGTCTTGGCTGGGTGGTCCTTCCTGTTGGGTGGAACTGGCTGCAGGGCTTGGTGCTCACTGAAGCAGCGTGGGTGCAGGGAGGGGTGTGGACAGAGGGGCTGGGAATGATGAACGATTCATGGTCAGGACCTGTTGCTATGGTGACACAGTGTGAGAACAAATGGTACACTCACATATACACATGTTTAAGTGTCTTAATCCATGCCAGAAAACATGCAAAATTAAACGTGTCGTTTCTTTGAGATGGAGCTACGGAAGCACATTTTGACTGGAGGTCAGGCCTCGCTCAGTCCCAGGGAGGCCTCTGAGCTGGGTCTGGGTGTCCCAGAGAGAAGGCCCCTGAATCCTGCTGTAAGCACCTTGAAGAGGGGTTTTGGGGCAAGACAGGGCTGAGGAAGAGGAGAGAAAGGAAACAGGAAACAGTGCACTGAGTCAGGCTTAAAATTCTCAGGCTTTGGAGGGAAGCAGCAGCTCTGCACAGGCTGCCTGGGGGCAGTGGAAGCTCAGGGCGGCTTCCTCCCCAGTGGGGCGGGGGTCTCGAGCTGTGGTGACAAGACTGAAGAACTAACAGAACTGACAAGACTTCCAACCTTGCTGGGTGGTATCAGAGGAAGGGTACCAGCGAACCTCTGGACATCAGTTTCTTCATCCTGAAAATGGGAGAGCGCCACCTGACCTGCATCCTCTGAGCATGTAGGGCAGCGGCGGCAGCGGTAGGGGCAGCGGGGTAGGTGAGCGCAGCAGATGAGGTGGCTGGGGTCAGCTCTGTGGTGTACAGAGGGAAGGGGGCCCAGGACCCTGGGTATGCGGGGATCAGAGGGGCCCCCATCAGCTCTGAGTGTGCTCCTAGGGAGGGGTGAGCGTTGGTGGGATTTGGCGTAGCCGTCAGCTTGTTCTTGGCCGTCTTGGTGTTGTCTTTGGCACACTCTAGCCTCAGGGTCTGCGGGTTCTCAGGATCAAAGCGAATACCGTTCACCGCCTTCTGGGAGGCTTCTGCTCCTGCCCGGTCGTCAAAGATCGCAAAACCAGCAGGCTGCCTCGATGTGAGCTTGATCGGGGACGCTTCATACCCCTTGCACGGCCTGAAGAGCAGGTAGAGTTCTTTGGGTTGAAGGTCCACAGGGAGGCCACTGGCGAACAGGGTCGGGAGGCCACTGGCGAACAGGGTCCGGAGCGCCTCCTCCGTGCGAGCCGTGCGGGCGCTGGGCGCGCAGTCCGGCATCAGGTTGCTCGCGGTGCTGGGGGTGGGGTGTGGTGGCGGTGACAGGGGCAGCCAGCGGGTCCGGCTGGAGTCGCATCAAGCTTCGCGGGCGCGGGAGACGGGGAGGGGGTGCGGCGGACGTGGCGCTGGGAACCCCGGCCGAGCCATGGTGGCCGCCGCCTCCGCCTTTTCCCTGCGACCGGCGAGTCTTGCCTTTTTATCACGGAACGGTAATAGACTTTTTACTGGTCTGCGCTCTTTTCTCTGGTCGGCACTGAACCTTTACCCACTGTTTAATTCCCCACATAGGGCCTGACAGTAGTGGGCGTTGGGCGGCTACTTACTGGTTAGATGGATAAATGAATGAAGCCAGAATTGTCACCTAGGGCTATAGCAGAAAAAGGCTTGGAAACCGGGGTAAGTGGTTTGAACTATATCCCCTAGACCAGGATTTTCCAAACTGTACCTTATGACCTATTAGTGGATTGTGAGATCAATTTAGTGGTTTGCAATAATTTTTTTATGTGAAATAGAATTTTATAGAACAGAAGAATAGAATAGAATAGATCCGAGTGCATCACAGAAAGCAAGGGTAAGTTTGTTTCATAAAACTTTTACTTCAGTTATACATATCATGCGTATATATGCACATCCTGAACTAGTATGTGTGCCTTGAGTTGTGATTATTTCTTCCAATAGATTAAGTCAAGAAGGTTCTAAAACTCCTGCTGTAACCACAGGGGAGCCGTTGTGAAGGGTTTCAATTAAGGATGTGATATGATCAGATCTGTGGTTTGGGAAACTTCCTCAGACCATGGCATGAAGGGTATTTTGACCAGCGATGGTGGCAATGGGAGCATCTGAAAAGCTACTAGAGTCAACTGAGAAATGACAAGAAAGATAATGGCATGGAATGGAAAGGAAGGGGTGGGAAGGAGAAGTAGTGACTGACTGGAAGATGGTGCTTTTGAGGGGGTTGAGGCTTAAGATCTAGTACTATGGGCTTGATCTGGAATGCCGTAATTCAGATAATGGAAACATCACAGCCAACGTCAATTCAGTAGGAGGAAAATCAATTATACTAACTTTTGAATTGAATTGACTGATCCATTTGGTCAGAATAATTAGCCCACATTGATATGAATTGCTCTGGATGCTAAATATAGTAATGACTAATGGGCTAGATTGTCCCAAGTATAAATTACCCATAACTAGTGTTTGAATCTAGTTGCTTAAACATTTAAGCTACTTTTATTATGCTATCACTACAGTGTATGAAATTATCTATGTTTTGAGTGGGGAAATCAACCTACATAGCCCATTGCTTATGAATTATCTATAGTTTACTCACCTACCTCAAATTCTTTTCTGGAACAAGACAAATATGAGGAAAAAAATCCAGTAACATGTAATTCATATAATTTAATATGCATTGCATATGAGAATAACTATTATTTTTGTTTCTCTATATAATAATTATGTCTTCTCTCGCAAAGTCCTCATTCATCTGGAAGAATTATATAATGTTCTCAATTTACTATGGATGGGCAATGCTTAACCTGGGTGGTATGTGGATCACCATATCTTAGTTGTAGGACGGGACCGCCTCCAAGCAATCTGAATGTAAATCAGGTATGGGTGTTGTCCTGAATAGTAATTTAGGAGCAGAGGAGTAATGGTGGACGAAGGTGCAGCCAAGGAATGAGACAAAATAAAATGTATTAGTTTTTATGCATTAGATTAGTAAGCTAATGATAAAATAATGATTAAAGGCTCACATTAGAGCAACAACTTTTAAATTTTGACCCTTATCATTTAATATTTAGTCTTACGTGTTAAACTAGATGTTAAAATTCCTAAAGGATGTTGTGGGCCCTGCATAGCACTTAGCAGTGCCCTGAGCCATGCTTACTGACTGAATGATATATTTATTAAAAATTACAATGTTGCCCATCAACAGACAATTGGCTTGAGGAGATGTGATATACAATGGAATATTACTCAGCCATGAAAAGAATGAAATATTGCTATTTGCAGCAACATGGATAGACTTAGAGAATATTATGCTTACTGAAATAAGTCAGAGAAAGATAAATACTCTATGATATCACTTATATGTGGAATCTAAAAAATAACACAAATGAATCTATAAACAGAACAGAAACAGATTCACAGACATAGAAAACAAATTTATGGTTACCAAAGTGGGGGAGGAGGGACAAATTAGGAGTATGGAATTAACAGATAAAAACTACTATACATAAAACAGATAAGCAACAAGGATTTACTGTATAACACAGGGATTTATGCCCAATATCTTGAAATAACCTATAATGGAATATAATCTGCAAAAAAAAAAAATCTGAATCACTATACTGTACACCTGAAACTGATATGATATTGTAAATCAACTATACTTCAATAAAAATAAATAAAATATTTTCAAGCTCTTAAAAAAATTCCAGTGTTAATTTCCAATTACCACTAAATTCTTTTTATAGCTAAAATGAATTACTTGAATTAAAGCCATCTGCTTAAAGGTACAACTATAAAGTTAGGTGACTTTTAAAAAAAACATAATGAAATATAAATTATGTTGTTCCTCAAAGTTGAAACTCCAGAAGGCTACACACTTGTTGAACAATAATGTAATTACTCAAAATGAAACAGGAGGGAAGGAGGCAGGGCACAGCCTTTGAAAGAATGACATAGCCTGAGGACATGACATAAACTGATTAGAACCAAATAGGTCCTAAATGGTGGACAAGTCGACTTCCACTAGACCTTGAGCCTCAGTATACGCCCACATCAGCAAGCTGAATGACACACCCACAGGCGCCATGACAGTTCCATAAGGATCAAAAAGTGAGCAGTGGCCCAATTCCTAGAAATCCCCTCCCCTTCCTAAAATAGCTGGAGTACTCCTCCCACTCTTTAGCCTATGAAATTTATATATCTTTATATCTCTCCACTCCTATAAAAACTGACAAGGCTATACCCTGGGGCCTTTCTCACCTTCTGAGATGGCCCACACTCTGTCTGTGGAGTGTGTTTCTCTCTAAATAAATTCACTTCTTACCTAACACTTTGTCTCTCACTGAATTCTTTCTGCAATGAAACATCAAGAACCTGACCTTCGTTAAGTCCTGAAACCAGGTGTGTGATCTCAGTTGGAAGACTGTGGGTTTTGGCTCGGGTTCGAGTCCCAGCTGTGTGGGTTCAAGTCCCAATCTGAGGTGCATGGTTTCAAAATCATCAGCAAACTCTTTTGCAATTGCCTTTAAAGCCAATTTAAGAAACATACAAGAAAAACAATCCACTTTATAAATACGGCTAATTTCTGTTACCCCTCCCACTGGAAAAAAAATACATATTTGGATTGTTCATTTTATTCATCATATTTGGCTTTAGATAACTCTTGGTTGTGTGTGTGTGTTTTTTTGTGTGTGCGGTACGCGGGCCTCTCACTGCTGTGGCCTCTCCCATTGCGGAGCACAGGCTCCGGACGCGCAGGCTCAGCAGCCATGGCTCACGGGCCCAGCCGCTCCGCGGCATGTGAGATCTTCCCGGACTGAGGCACGAACCCGTGTCCCCTGCATTGGCAGGCGGACTCTCAACCACTGCGCCACCAGGGAAGCCCTCTTGGTTGTGTTTTTAAAAATGTCCTTGAAGAATAAATTTGTAGCCATTAAATGTACTGAAATAAACATGACATAGGATCATTGTAATATACTAAATCTCCATATTGAGAAATTTTTAAAATTGTATTGAAGTATAGTTGATTTACAATGTTCGTTAATTTCTGCTGTACAGCAAAGTGACTCAGTGATACATATATATATATATATATATATTCTTTTCCATCATGGTTTATCACAGGATATTGAATATGGTTCCCTGGGCTATACAGTAGGACCATGTTGTTTATCCATCCTATATATAATGGTTTGCATCTGCTAATCCCAAACTCCCAATCCTTCCCTCCCCTCCCCTCCCTTCCCCTTGGCAACCACAAGTTTGTTCTCTATGTCTTTGAGTCTGTTTCTCTTTCATAGATAGGTTCACTTGTGTTGTATTTTAGATTCCAAATATAAGTAATATCATATAGTATTTGTCTTTCTCTTTCTGACTTACTCTGCTTAGTATTATAATCTCTAGGTCCATCCACGTTGCTGCAAATGGCATTATTTCATTCTTTTTCATGGCTGAGTAATATTCCATTGTATGTGTATATATCATACCTTCTTTATCCATTCATCTGTCAATGGACTTTTTTTTTAAACATCTTTATTGGTGTATAATTGCTTTACAGTGGTGTGTTAGTTTCTGCTGTATCACAAAGTGAATCAGCTATACATATACATACATTCCCATATCTCCTCCCTCTTGCGTCTCCCTCCCACCCTCCCTATCCCACCCCTCTAGGTGGACACAAAGCACGGAGCTGATCTCCCTGTGCTATGCAGCTGCTTCCCACTAGCTATCTATTTTACATTTGGTACTGTATATATA